GGCCTTCGTAAGGAATTTTGTAACTACACTCATCTCACCTGAATAATCCAGTATAGTTTTCCCACCTCAAGAGCCTTAAACTTGATCACATCTTTCAAGTCCCCCTTGCCATGCAAAAATAATATGTTTGCATATTTCAGGAATTAGGGACATTTTGGGGGTGGGTATTCTGTCTAGTGTATGCATCAAGAGTAGAATGAATAAATTATGACATTCTAATAAAACGTAACACTTGCAACAGGGAAAATGAATGAGGTACTGCAAACCCTCATCATCGTAGATAGATGTCATAATAAAATGTTAGCAAAAGAAGCAGATTATAGAAAAAGTCACGCATTAGAGTCCATTAATATTAAAGTTCAAAAACGGGAAAAAACCTCAAGTGTATTGTTTAGGGATGCATTACCAGAAAAAGAAAAGCTGATAAGAAAAACAAGATTTATTTCTACCATTAGGGAGAAGGAGGTAGATGTGATTAAGGAGGACCTTAAAGGTCCTACTACCAGTAGGTAGTATTTTTTTTTCTAAGATTCAGGGGGTACATGTGCAGGTTTGTTACATGGGTGTAGGCGGATTTTCAGCTCTTGTTTCCCCCTCTCCTGCTCACCTTTTAGGATCCCCAGTGTTTGTTATTTTCATCTTTATGTTCATGTATATTCGTTGTTAGCTGCCGCTTATAAGTGAGAATATACAATGTTTGATTTTCCGGTTTTGCATTAATTCACTTAGGATAATGGCCTCCAGCTGCACCCATGTTACTGCAAAGGACATGATTTCATTCTTTTTTATGGCTACTTAGTATTCCATGGTCTACTTGGACTACAGTTTCTTTATTCCATCCACTGTTGGTGGGCACTTGACTACGTGATGATTACATGACTTCGCTGCTGTGAATAGTGCGTTCAAGTGCAGGTGTCTTTGGTATCATGATTTCCTTGGGTAGATAGTGGGATTGCTGGGTCAAATGATGGTTCTGCTTTTAGTTCTTTGATAAATCTCCATATTGTTTTTCAAAGGGGTTGAACTAATTTACATTCCCACTAACAGTGTGTAAGCATTCCCTTTTTTCCACATCCTTGCCAAGATCTGTTTTTTGTTTTACTTTTTGATAATACTGGCAGTATTTAAACAGTTTTTGGTGATGCACAGGTTTCTGTATCAGGAGTCTATAAAGGTTACAAATATATACGTGGCAATTTTGCATACCCTAACCCATCCCTTACCACAATTAAAATGTTTTAAAGAAGTAAAATATGGTGCTTTATAATCTACAAGTCAGCAATTTAAGAAAAATTTGTAAGAACAATCCCTAGATAAAATATTTTTAAAACCTGGAAAGCTTTTTGGTTTGTGTTTTTTTTTCCTATTGTTATTTAGGGGCTAGCATTTGAAGTCTTTACAGATATATTTCATGCTGGAGGAAAAAGAAAGAAAAAAACAGAATTTGAAGTCTTATAGATAGTGAGAGCAACGGAATGAAATTTGTGAGTTAGTGACCTAGTGAGTGGGACAGCAAAGTATATATAACTCTAGAGCCAGAATTCTTGATAATGATCACTTATCTCAAGATAATGTAGCCCTAACTCTGTTGAAGGAAGTTTGGAGACACATTTATAGTCCTAGGGTGAGAGAATGAGAATGAAACAGCTTGCAAGGACTGGTTTCCATTTTCTGATACTTGCATATATTGCTCCTATGGACCACATAAATTAACAGGCTGAGCCCCATTTTTTGTTTTTTGAAAATTTTAGCTATAAGTTCATATGCAGTTGCAAGAAATAACAGAGAAATCCCATATACTGTTTATTTATCCCAATGGTAACATCTTGTAAACATGTAGCACAGTGTTGTAACTAGGATATTGACAGTGATTGAATCTACTGATCCTATTCAGAGCCTCTCAGTATTACTTGTTTTGTTTGTGCGTGTATGTATTAGTTCCATACAATTTTATCACACATACAGGTTCATGTATTCACCATCACGGTCAAAATACTGAACAGTTTCATCACCACAAATATTCCTCCTGTTGCCCTTTTATAACCACACTATTTCCTTCCTACCCTACCTGCTCCACCTTCCATCTCCTACCCCAGTCGTTAATCCCTGGAAACCAATAATATGCTTTCCATTTCTAAATTTTTTTTTTAATTTAAAAAGTGTTCTGTAAATGGAATTATATAATATGTAACCTTTTGGCTTGGCTTTTTCATTCAGGATAATTCTTGGAAGATAAATCCAGGTCGTGCATATCAGCCAGTGAGTTCCATTTTTAAATTAGCTGAAGAATGCTTTGTGGAATTTGGGGACTCTAAATTCACTTTGTAAATACCAATTTCCTTCTTGGATTAGTGGATAAGATAATAGATTTTAAAGTCTGATAGATTGGGAATAAGTTCCATTTCTCCTTTGGAAAAATTACTTTAAGGCTGCTAAACCTTTTTATTTATTTATTTATTTATTTATTTGAGACAAAGTCTCGCTCTGTTGCCCAGGCTGCAGTACAATGGTGCAATCTTGGCTTACTGCAACCTCCGCCTCCCAGGTTCAAGCAATTCTCCTGCATCAGCCTCCTGAATAGCTGGGACTACAGGCACGTACCACCATGTCTGGCTAATTTTTGTATTTTTAGTAGAGACAGGGTTTCACCATGTTTGTCAGGCTGGTCTTGAACTCCTGACCTCAAGTGATCCACCCACCTCAGACTCCCAAAGTGCTGGAATTACAGGTGTGAGCCACCGCACCCAGCCAAGGCTGCTAAACCTTAATTTTCCTATTTGTAATATGAAGGTAATAATACCTCATTGATGGAATACTTTTGAAGAGTAAATGAGGTAACATAAAGCTCTTAATACTGTGTCTATCACATAAGTGTTCTGTAAATGTCAACCTAAAGGAAAGAGGTGAAAGAGATGGTAGTAACAGCAATGTTACTACCATCTGTAACTTCTAGGTTAGTTTGGGAAGATAGTGCTTTCATATTGCAATGGCTACTTGGATTTCATATATGTTTAGGTAGAGGAGGAGAATTCAGTACTATTGAAGCACTTAAAAAAAAATGTTTTTTCAAATGGGTATAGCTAATCTTTCTCTGTTTTTTATTTTATCGACCACAGTAAAAAGTAAGTTGACTGCATTAATGTTATATCTTAATAAGCAAATACCAGCTAACTTGAATGAATATATTTTTATATGATAGTATAGATTTGTTAAGGTTAAAACATCAGTAATTTTGATATTTTAAATTCTAGGTCACTGGAGTTCTGGATGATTGCTTGTGTGATATTGACAGCATCGATAACTTCAATACCTACAAAATCTTCCCCAAAATAAAAAAATTGCAAGAGCGAGACTATTTTCGTTATTACAAGGTAAGGTTGTAATTTTTTATTCCATTGATATTAAACGTTTCTGATCCTTTTGAAAACCCATTTCAGTTCCTCTCAGCACCCTGTGTCTATCTTTCATCATTTGAATTTATTATGTATTACAATGAAAATCTGTCAATCCTTTTAAACAATACGAATCTTAGCCCCCTTCCTTTGTTTGAGGAGTTTCTCATTTTTCAGCTTTGGTTTTGAGACAGAGACTCCTCTTTCTACAGAAGCTGAAAATGCCACAGACTCCTTTATAACATAGCTCTGCCATCTGGACACACCTACTCAGCCTTTGAGTCGTGCTGATGGCAGTGTGCCAGCACTGTTAGCAGTACAAAGTACTGCAGCAGCACCTTTGTTGGACCTCTTTCTGAGAGGGCTGGCAAAACAGGCTGAGGCTTCAAGTAGACCACTACACGTAGTAATGCTCCAGAATTGGTTCTAGTAATAGTCTGCTGTAGACCTTTACAAAACAACCAGTGATAGTTTAAAGATAGCAGCAATCTTTAAATATGGCAGTAAGGCAATATTCAAAAGAACAGTGTTTGACATTTTAGAACAACATTTTATTTTTTATTCTTACTATTTTTGAGACAGTCTCGCTTTGTCGCCCAGGCTGGAGTGCAGTGGCACGATCTCAGCTCACTGCAACCTCCGCCTCCTGGGTTCAAGTGATTCATCTGCCTCAGCCTTCTGAGTAGCTGGGATTATAGGCACCCACCACCACACCCAGCTAGTTTTTGTGTTTTTAATAGAGATGGGGTTTCGTCATGTTGGCCAGGCTGGTTTTAAACTCCTGACCTCAGATGTATCCACTTGCCTCGGCCTCCCAAAGTGCTAGGATTACAGGCATAAGCCACTGCGCATGTCCTAAATATATATATTTTATTATTTAATAATATATATATGTTTTTGTTTTAGAGATAGGGTCTTGCCATGTTTGCCAAGACTGATCTTGAATTCCTGGCCTCAACTGATCTATACAAATAAATACATATTTTATTTTTGTTTTCTAGGTATAAGTCAGCTAAATTAAATATTTTTGAGGATAAAAAAAAATTTTAGTATCTTGTGCAGAAAGATAACAAATAAGAGAATTAAAGATTTGGGAACACATCCCTCTTTCCTGTCAGCACCAGGAATATCCAAAAAAGGTGATGAATGTTTCTCCTCTATACAAAATCCTTTAGGAATGCATATTTGATGAATTTATTTCAAAGAGTAATCTATACCTAAATAAACTATTGAGTGTCTATTATTTTAGGCATTTTACATACAAATAAGACAGATGCTTCTTTAAATTTCCCCCACTTAATTTATAAATCTAAGTGCATTTGTAGCTGCTTTCTCTTGCTGCTTTTCTACCATTACGTTGAACTATATGAAATTTTTACTTTTATGTTTCATAAATGGTTGAATATGCCAGTTTTATATGGTTCAATGTAATACAGCGGAGGAAGCGTTTCTTGCATCAAAGACCGTCTCTTCACAAGAGGTCCAGTTCACATCTCTACATAATGTCATGTCCCTCAGTCTTTCACTCTCTTTACTCTGTGATTGTGGCTTCTGTTTCTTTATCCCTAGCAGGCTTGATCAGTAGTGGTACTCAAATATTTGAATATTGGAATGAATATCTCATTTAATCTTCACACTACAATATTCTCAGTATTAGGAACATTTTTCAAATGAAGAAGTCATAGTTTAGGTATCCCAGATAGGGTATTTTTGTTGGCTAACAAATAAAACAGAAGTTTTATTAAGAAAAGATATGGAGTAGCTAACAAAATTGAAAGATAAGATGAGGAAGCTTACTTCAGAAAAGGTAAAACTAAAGCTGGAACTAATGAGCATTCTCTTTAAGGAATCACTGGAATTTTGTATCAAATTAACTATTTTTCTATATTCTGCAAACTTTATGCCAAGAGTTATGTTTCTGTCTAGGTAGGGTCAGAATATGTGACCCCCTGGACCAAAAGAAGGAAGGACATTTTGGTCGCCAGTCTCATTTGCATGAATAAAAGTGGAGTCATTGTTTCCCAAAGGAAAATTAGGGAGGGACTATTACAAAAGAAGGAAAAATGGAAGTTGGATAGGCAAAAATGGCAATTTGGCTCTTGGCTGCTTGGCTACTCAACATACAGTCTCATTCTTCCTCTTACACATGTGGCTTAGAAATGTTCTGATCAACACAGTGAAATGTTTCCATAGGAAACCAAAATGTCCTCATACCCTCTCACAGCGGAGGGTTAATGCCATGATCTAGTTAATGCATTCAGCTCTGACTTTAGGATATTTGGGTGATATCCACTCCTCTTTTTGTTGTGTCAACTTATGAAATAAATGAAAAGGAATATACTCTACCCAATATACTCTGCCTACAACAGTGGCAAAAAAGGAAAGCTTTAAAAAGAAAAAGCTAAGAGAGGAGGTTAATTTTTTTATTATTACTATATTTGAGACAGTCTCGCTCTGTCACCCAGACCGGAGTGCTGTGGTGCAGTCTTGGTTCACTGCAACCTCAGCCTCCTGGATTCAAGCGATTCTCTTGCCTCAGCCTCCTGAGTAGCTGGGATTACAGGCCCACACCACCATACCTGGCTAATTTTTATATTTTTAGTAGATACGGGGTTTCACCATGTTGACCAGGCTGTCCAGAACTCCTGACCTCAGGTCATCCACCCACCTCGGGCTCCCAAACTGTTGGAATTACAGGCGTGAACCACCACACCTGGCCAAAAAGCGGTTAATTTTAAACGCATATCACATACACACTTATTATTCAGCAAGCAAGGAATACAGGTGTAAGTAATGTTATGCCTTTATACAGTTGGGCAGTTAGCTGCTGTAGCTGGTATTTCTACCTTCTCTTTTCTATTTCTCAGTCCATTCCTTTATGTACTAAATGTTTATTGAATGATTAATTTGTATCAGGTACTGTGGATACAGTAGTGAATAAGACGAAACTTTTGCTCTGATAAGAGCAACAAACAATAATTAAGCAATAAAATATGATTACAGATGTTATAAGGTAAGTTTTATGGAGAAAAGTAAAGTAGGAGGGAATGAATATTGGGGAATTGGAGGGTCAGGGAGGTAGGTAGCCCTACGTTAAAGAAGGTAGTTGGGAAAATAAGGTATTTATGCTAACTTGACATTTGAGCAAAGTCCTACCTAGTATGAAAGAGCCATGTGAAGGTTTGGGGAGAAAACATTCCAGGGAAAAGATGTAGAATACCAAGTAAAAGGTCTTGAGATAGGATTAAGTTTGGTGTGTTGAATAGGCAGAAAGCTGGCATAGCTGGAGGAAAGTGAGTAAGTGAATGAGAAGGGAGAGCTGGAAAAATAGATAGGGACCAGATTAAAAAAACAGTAGGGTTTTGACAATGTAAGGATGCTGGATTTTATTTTAAGCAGGATAAGAAACTTCTGAAGGGATTTTTGTGCAAAAAAGACTGTATCAGAGTTAGTTGTCCCCATTTGGGGTGAGAGGTCTAGGCCTTTATATCCATACATCAGTTGGTCAGTGGATGAAGGCCAATAGGAAATGGGGATCCAATCTTGGGTAAGGTGGCTCTTTTTAACTGAGGTTGTCTACCTGCAACATTTCCACAGCTGGGCTAATTATAACCCCTTTATTCTTGAAGCGTGATCTGAGTAACATGTTACAGTGTCTACAGTCTACTCCTTGCACTATGGACTTCTGTTGCAGAATAAAAAATTAGCTTTAAATTTAGCAGCTTAAAACAGCGGGGCCAGGCACGGTAGCTCACTCCTGTAATCCCAACACTTTGGGAGGCCAAGGCTGGTGGATCATTTGAGGTCTCTTCAAGACTAACCTGGCCAACATGGTGAAACCCCATCTCTACTAAAAATACAAAAAAATTAGCCAGACAGTAGTGGCGTGCACTTGTAATCCCAACTACTCAGGAGGCTGAGGCAGGAGCATCGCTTGAGCCTGGGACGCAGAGGTTATAGTGAGCTGAGATCATGCCACTGCACTCCAGCCTGGGCGACAGAGTGAGACCCTGTCTCAAAAAAAAAAAAAAAGGCAGACTGAAAAGATACCATTTGAGGAAGACCTAAAGGGTGTGAGAAAGCAAGCAATGATGTGGATATCTGGGGAAAGAGCATTGTAGGCAGAAGTAACAGCGAAGCCTCCTGTTTGAGGAAGAACAAGGAGGTGAGGTCAGTGAACACAGGAAGGAGAGCAAGGGGATCATGTAAGGCATTATAGCTATTGTGAGATGAGTCGGAGGATTTTGAGCTTTTTAAAAATTTTTTTTTTTTTTTTTTTTTTTTTTTTGAGATAGTCTCACTCAGCCACCCAGGCTGGAGTGCAGTGGTACAGTCTTGGTTCACTGAAACCGCCGCCTCCTGGATTCAAACAATTCTCCTGCCTCAGCCTCCCACGGACCTGGGATTACAGGCATGCACCACCACACCTGGCTTATTTCTGTATTTTTAGTAGAAAAGGGGTTTCACCATGTTGGCCCGGCTAGTCTCGAACTCCTGACCTCGTGGTCCACCTGCCTCTGCCTCCCAAAGTGCTGGGGTTTCAGGCGTGAGCCGCTGCACCTGACCAATTTTGAGCATTTTTAAAAGGATTACTCTGGTTGTTATGTTGAAAATAAACCATATGTGTATAAGGACTAGGTAAGGAGAACATTAAAAGGCAATGGCAGGTCAGGTGCTGTGGCTCTTACCTGTAATCCTAGCACTTTGGGAGGCCGAGGCGGGTGTATTATCTGAAGTCAGGAGTTCAAGACCAGCCTGGCCAACACGGTGAGATCCTCTCTCTACTAAAAATACAAAAATTAGCGGGGTATGGTGGCGCATGCCTATAATCCCAGCTTTGGGAGGCTGAGGCAGGAGAATTGCTTGAACCTTGGAGATGGAGGTTGCAGTGAGCCGAGATCACACCACTGCACTCCAGCCTGGGTGACAGAGCAAGACTCAAAGGGCAATGGCAATGATCCAGGAGAGAGAATAAGGTG